GCTTTCACATAACGATTGCAAACAAGGGAAGTATAAAAGTTAAATAAATATGCTGAAGTTCGGAGATAGGCGATTTCATAATTATTTAAGGGATATACAAGTGCAGGAAAAGGGGGTCAAATAATTGGTACAAATAATCAAACAAAGGGAATAAAAGAGGCGGAGGTTTGGAGAAGAAACAGTGCTGCAAATCAAATAATTAAAAGAGATTTTTTAGTGATTGAAGTAAAAGAAGAAGTTTAGAGAACTGAAAAATTAACAACTTTTCTAAAAAAAGTTCTGGAAAGAAAAGAAAGCAAACAAATAAAGAGGGAGGGGGTCCTAGGTTTATACATAACATGGATCACCCCACACAACACCCGGTAACCATTTATACACGTGGTGCTATCGCGTGGTCATCATATCCATGTCTACCCTTACCCACCCCGTTAGGGCATTAAATCGCGGAATGGTCTCGTTACTTATTGCATGCTATTACCCGCCCTAATCCTATCACTCCCGGAGGCAGTTGGGACTACTAATCCTAAAGGGAAGGGAGATTGGCTTTTCAGAGTTTTAAAAGGACAAAAGTATAGTGCGACAAACAAAACACATAAAAGCAGTAAAAGGGGAAACACATAACAGTTAAAGGCTCAAATAGGCCTCCTCATTCAAAGCAACGAATTGTTTAGCATGACTTACAGGTACTGCCTTAGGTCCTTAATTAAACTTAAACGTTAAAGGGGTGGCTGATTTATCACATATTTTCAGATAAGAAGTCCAAATTAGGCCTGCCTGCTGGTTGTAATTATTAAAGACTGGTATAGTTTATTAGTTACCTAATGGTTTGCCTAGGTGAGACCTGTAGGCATGATATCTAACAAGGTAAAGCATACTGATTTTAAGCAAGGATTACTGATTTTAGAAATGAACCAATTCTGCAGATACTAAACGACATTATTACTGATTTTAGACTCGCGGATGAATCAGATTTAAACGATTGCTCCTATAGGCATGAATTCTAAGCGTTACTGATTTTTAAAACGGTTACGTAAGTGCAGGAGTTCTATAAGCATGGTATCTAGGATGCGATTGACTATTCTTTAACCCATAGATTGTTTGCCTAGTGACATATTCATATGCAGACGGGTAGAAACTATAGGCATGACTTCTATATGCGGAAATGTAGACACTTATAGGGCATGGTCTCTAATGTAGGAATCCAGAAACTTATATACAGGATTTGTAACGAAATGCATAACTTATAGGCAGGATTTCTATATGCAGATACATAAACGTAATGGTTGTGATTGCAGAAGTAAAGACCTAAAACATGATATCTAACCCATATGCATAACATGGGTGACCCTCCTCCATTTTTACTATACACCCCATAAGTTATTACAAGATTATTACAACTTGAATGAATCCAGAAAAAAGGAAACAAAATTACAGCAGAAAAAATTCCAACCAAGGAGAGCCTAATTTAGACTCCTAGTCTGAAACATGAAATAAACCAACTTTCAAAGATCAGAGTTCCAAACCCTCTCTCATCTTTGGGTGTGTCAAAGTTCCAAGGAGCTTCATGAACTCCAGGCAGTGCTTACACCCAAATACATTGCAGGATCAGATTATAGTGCAGTGTGGAAGAGCTAGCCCTCAAATGTTCAAGTTCAGAGGGAACTCAAGGTCCCAAAGGCAAGGCTCATAGGAGGGGGGCAGAACTTAGAGTCTAAGAGTAAGTGTAAGTGCAATAGAGGGGGAGTTGGGGAAGACCATGACAGGCTAGTGGTCATGCCCAGCAATTAGGAATGCTGGCACACCCCTGACCATCCTGTTAGCTAGATTGGGAGTTAGGACCCATTGAAGGTCAGGTTCGGACCTGGGCAGTAATTTGGATATTGCCAGGCCATGAACTTTAACTCAACACATAGAAGGGAATGGGGGTATGGGGAATTTATAACAAACAGTAAACATAAAAGAAAGTAACATATTTAATACAGAACATGAGCAGCAAAGTAGGCAAGAGTGTAGTGACTGTAAAATAAACACATTGGGAAGAAGCTGAAATCAAAATCGAGACATACCAGTTTCAGGGAAAACAAATAAGTCAAACAGTAGTCTTGAAAAGCCAAGTTGCAAGCAAAGCAGTACAGAAGTCTCAGAAGAGAGTAGAGAATTGAAAGAGTAGTGTGATTGAGAGTATGCGTGTGAGAGTATGAGTATTGAACTTAGGATTCAAAAGTTCAAAGTTGTTTTAGTGCTGAAGGGTCGAGCCCCTTTTATAGTGCAGCAAACAAGTAAGAACAAGGTAAGGATATAACATTGTAATCAATCTCCCTTTAGTTAAGGGATTCTGATTTCAAACGGGTAAAAACAATTAAGGAAAGGGATTTGAAAAAATATTTTCCAGGCAGTACAATAATGGGTAAATACATAGCAGTTATTTAAGGCAACAGCCCAATGGTACACGATTTGTGTGAAATAAGGAAAGGGAATCAATCAGACAGCTAGTAAAATCAAAGTTACAGGCTTTTACTCGAATAAATCAAGTCAATAAAGGGGTAAAGAAAGCTTTAATTTAAAGGAAATCAGTAACAATCAAGTAAACACTATTAAAGGAATTCGAAATCAATTAGTAGTTGGCAAAAACCCTTTTGAAAGAAGAACTTCTCATATATAAAGCAGACAAATCAAACAAAAGAATCGTCATGTTACTTAGAAAAATAGTTCTAGCATTGAAATGTTCAGAATCATAAGCAAGAGGATACGAGTCCAATTGCAGACTTACAATGAGTCTGAGAGTCCAGGGTCCCAAAGTGGAACCCTAACTCGAAAACAAAATCAAAATCGCCAAGCGGAACCCCAAATCCTAGGGTTTCAACTTGAATCAAACATAAAAGTGAGAAAGCAAGCCATTGAAACAGACTCAAAGGTTTGTTTCAGAGCTTCAACAAAACAGATATGAGAGCATGTTTGAACAACAAAGTAAGAAAGCTGATTCAAGATCATGAAGAACATATTTGAGAAAACTCGGACCTTAAACGAGTTCAGAAGAAAGAGATGATACAAACTTAAACAAAAGCAGATGAAGCATGTTTAGCAAGAATACGAACAGTGTTTAGTAAGACAAAAATAAAGAATCTCAACGGTAAACACATATAGTAAAAGAGCAAAGAAAACATAACAGGATTAACATAGGAGTAACATGTACAGTAAAAAAAAAGTAGACAGACAGTACATGCGTAGCAAAAGAAATCACACGAGCATGATATAGACAACACATATAAAGCAAAGAAGAAGAAAAATCAAAAAATTTTTTTGAAAAATCCTTTTGGAAACCCTAAAATCGAAGACGAACGATTTTGAAAAGAACTTTTGGGGAAAAAACTTTAAATGTCAAGTGAAGCATAGATACATCAAGATCTAAGCAAAAGACATGGAAAGAACCTCGAATAGCTTAGGGTTTCGGAGAAACCCTAGAAATGAGAAAGGCTTGGAAGAAGGTCCGATCTTGAGTCGGAGAGGTCAGGAATCAGGCTCCTGAGTCTTGAATATGCCGGAGCATGCCGGAGAAGCCATGGAATCAAAGGTCTGAGAAGATCGTAGAGGGAATCATCGAGGTCAGGTCTCAAAGCTTCGAACAACCATGGCTCACTGGTGAAGGTAGGTGAGTACCAACTATCCATGGCCCGAGAAGCCATGGATTCCGGTGACAAGCGGTTGAAAAGGGGTAGGAGGAGGCTAGGGTTCCGGAGAGCTTGAGAGAGTTTGAGAGAGTTTGGGATTCAGAGGCGGTTGAGAAGTGGGGAATGAGGGATTTTTTTCCCGCAAAATCCACTAGGCAAGTGCCTAGGGCTAGTTTCTATTAATATAAATGAAAATAAATGTCATGAAATCCTAGTAAGTGTAATGAAACAAAATTTGATCTCTACATATAGCCTATTATCAAAATTGAGTAATACACTCAAAATTGATATCACATTAACACTATTGAAATTTACAAAGTAAAAACTAGCCCATGTGTAAAATTCCTCCATTGTTTTGACCGAGCATTTCAGGCAGTCCGTATAAATGGCCCAACAAGACTGGCCCATCTCCATCTTGACGCTATGAAAGATCAGCGACAAAAACCAGCCCAATTCCTTCCTTGTTTTTGTATCCCCCTTCAGCACTATCACTTGTTCTCCAGATCCAGTAACCCATTGTGCATTTCGTTCCAGCCCACCTCCACGATCCAGTCTGTTTGCAATTATAGCCTCTTCCAGTCCAGTTAAGCTCCAGCGTCATAAATTGCACATTTAGCCACATTTCTTGTATCATTAACCTTGTACACGTGTTGTCTCCATTTATATCCTTCATTTGCGTATTTATTCCTGTCATAATACTCATTGTATCCGTTTGATCCCACCTGTATCTATCATAGTTCGAAAGACTCTCCTAACACTCTCCAAAATGTCATCTTTGAAGCTCACTATTAATCTGCCTTTACCTAAATTCTTGTTCAAATCGCCAATTGCTGCCCCATGTTCTCCTGCTGATGTTGCTTGAAATTGCTCTGTACCTGAAGATATTCCAGCTGGATCTTGCCTATTGCATATGCGAAGATGATACAGTGTAGCTTGCCCAGCTCTATGAGTGGAGTTACTGCTCATTTGTCTTCCCTGCTTTGCTTTCCTTGTGTTGCATGTTGATGTTCCAGTCGAAATTGCTGAATTGCTGCTCAACCTTCCTTGCCAATGCCAGTGGATTTTGCAAATTGTTTTAAGAATAAAAGTTTTCTCTTCCTCATCTTGTTGTATTTTTTGTTCTTTTTCTGATTTCTGCTTTGCATGAGGATAAGAATTCCTCAAGATTGCTTGAATCCCTATATGTTGTGATGTGTAACCTTTCTTATGCTTGATTGTTTTTTTCCACAGGTGCATCATCCAGCTGAATTCCTTTGAGACTGAAAGGAATTTTGCTGTCTGCAGGCTGTATGCCTTTGTGACATCATAGGTTTGCTTGATTTTTCTTTTTGTCTATTGCTGTTGCTGAATTCCCTGCCTTTTGAGATTCTTTGTGACTGTGCTATTGTCTAGATGTAATTTTAATCCATTGGAATGAATGCTGAGCATTAATACCACCAAATAGATCTCCAGTACACCATAGAACAACAACATAGCCCATGTACCTGCAAAAAAACAAAATAAGTTAGTTAAAAAAATCACTATGCTCTCTTCCCAAAGGATTTGAACATAGTGAGCACATGAATGGCCTCCTGAACTCCCCTTCTTTTTTGAGGCTTCATCTGCCACCTCTTTCTTCATTGTCATCTCCTCTCCTTCCTTCCTTAATTCCTTGCAACTGCAACTCTGATGTATGGACATTGCATCTTGTCACTATTCACCAACCTTCTACCTTGTATATCCAGTTCTTCAAAATTATGGCACTCTACAGGACCAAAATCTAGTGCATAGTTGGCAATATGGTCTGCCAATTTGTTTCCCTCTCGCAGGGTGTGTGCCACTGTTACATTAGCTCTACACATCAACCTTCTAATGTCTTCAACTATAATAGATATAGCCTAAGGAGGTTTCCACTCACCAGTTATAACATTTTTCAACATCATAGAATCAGTGTGCAGCTCAATTAGGACATAATCATTGTCAATGCAGAACTTTAGTGCCTCATATATTGCCATAGCTTCAGCAGATGTATTGGAGCCTTCATTTACCTCTTTCCCACATGCATACACCAGATCTCCTTCTTCATTCCTCAATGCAAAACCAATCGAACTTCTGCCTGGATTACCCCTAGATGCTCCATCTGTGTTAACTTTGATCCATCCTTGTTGTGGCAGCTCCCATAACACCTTTGAGTATTTCAATATAGGTGTATATTGCTCCATCATTTTAAGCATATCTGGCCATCTATTTGGTACATTCTGCATTGCTGGTTTTCTTAATTTTATAAGGGACTGCATAGTGGTTGAAATCTGATACACCACCCTATTAATTGTGACTGAATATCCATACTTATAACTATTTCTCCTCTTCCACAATTCCCAAAGAATCACTGATGGTAGGGCTTGCATAATAGGTTTTAGCCTAGGTATAACTTCTGCAGTCCAGCACTTGATAATAGCTTGATGTAATGTGATCCCTTCCATACTAATACCTGCATGACCAAGGTAGTATCTCCACACTTTATTAGCTGCATAAGAAGTGAAAAATAGATGTTGCATGGTCTCCTCCTTTGGCTCTGTACAGCACCAGCATTTTGAAGCCATTAAATATCCCAACTTCCTGAAAAAATCATCAAGTGGTAACTTGTTCCTCCAGACCTTCCACATGAAGAAGGCAATTTTGAAAGGCAATCCTTTTACCCAAATGTTCCTGTAAGCATTACTAGGATTTTGCCTCCTTCTTAGATAGTCCCATGCTGATTTTACAGAGAACTCACCTCTAGTTTCCAGCATCCACACATGATTATCTATCTTTTCACATTCCACAGGTGGTTGAATATTATCCAAAATATGTGCAGCAATGTCTTCAGGTAGAATCTCCTTTATCCTTTCCTCATCCCACTGTCCATTTTGAACCACATCATATATATTATGGACAGTTTCATCACACACAAAATCTGGTGGTGTTACAAAATACAAAGAACCAAGCCCTGTCCAATTTTCATACCAAAAGAGTGCAGATCCCATTCTAGGTTGCCATAATATTTTATGTTCAATGATATCCCTACACTCTAGCATTTTTCTCCAAACATGAGAGCCATCACTCCAAGGAACCACCATTGGATTGATTTTCTTGCTATACTTCTGACTCATAAATGCACTCCACAGTGTTGGCTTTGTCCTGAAATTCCACCACAGCTTACAACACAAAGCTGTTGCCATATCATGTAGTGACCTGAAACCTACTCCTCCTTCTTCACATGGTAAGCATAGAGTACCCCAGGATGCCCAATGCCTGTTTGCAACTCCAACTGAACTACACCAGAAAAATTGAGCAAATATTTTGTGTAGTTTATTAATTACATATGCAGGTGGATTAACTGCTGAGAGTAAATGTATAGGCATGCTCTGTAGGATATGTGAAATAAGAACAGCTCTGCCTCCAATAGATAATAACTTCCCCTTCCAATTCTGCAATTTATCCATCACCTTTGTTATGAGATCTTAATAATAAACCATTTTTCTTCTAAGGTAGAAGATTGGACATCCTAAGTATGTGAAAGGGAAGTCTTGTCTTGGGATGCCTGTAACTCTTTGAACCTTGTCAACTACTTCATTGCTGGCAGAATGATGTAGGTACACAACTGATTTGATTTTGTTTATAAGCTGGCCAGATGCTATTTCATAAGCTGCTAAAACATCCATTATGAGCTTCAATGAGGTGTTATCAGAAGAGGAGAAAATAATTGTATCATCTGCATAAGCAAGATGATTTATTTTGGGACTCCACTTAGGCATTCCAAATCCACAAAATTGTTTATTCCTGTGTAGAGCATTCAATCCTCTTGACATTGCTTCAGCTGCCAGGATGAACAAAGTAGGTGACAAAGGGTCACCTTGTTTCACTCCTCTTGTCGATCTAAAAAAATCATGGGGCTGTCCATTAAGTAGTACAGAATACCAATTGTTTGATATTATACCATGTATCAAACCTATGAACCTTTCTCCAAATCCCATCTTCCTTAAAACCTTTGTCAAAAATAGCCAAGACAGTCGATCATAGGCCTTAGTCATGTCTAATTTTATAACCACATTTGGACCAGCTTTAGTTCTTAATCGAATGTCAGTGATTATCTCCTGTGTAAGCATTATATTTTCTACTATGCTCCTTCCTTTAACAAATCCTGCCTGTTCTTCTGAGATTAGATTAGGTAACATTCCTACTAGTCTTTCATGGATTACTCTAGAAAACACTTTATTAATGAAGTTACTTAGACTTATAGGCCTCATGTCAGAAAATGATACCACTTCATTCTTTTTTGGTAACAGTACAAGATTAGTGTGTGTTATGTACCTGGGTAGTTCATGACCACAGAAGAAGGCCTTCACCATGTTTACCACATCATCACCAATTATTTCCCAACATGTTTGAAAGAAGAATCTTGAAAAACCATCTGGACCTCCTGCACTCTCCCCATTTAGACCAAACACAACATATTTTATCTCCTCTCTAGTAGGCAATTTTACCAGTTCAGCATTCTGATCATTATCCACCATATAAGGAACATTTTCCAATATTCCAAAGCTGGTAGGACTGTTTCTTCATGAAATTGAGCTTGATAAAATCTCACTGCCTCATCTGCCATGTCTGCAGTATTTTCTAGCCAAATCCCAGCATTATTCTGCACCCTTCTCAATTGTAGCCTTTTCCTTCTACCATTCACCTGAGCATGGAAAAATTTAGTATTTCTATCTCCATCTTGGAACCAATTCATGCCAGCTTTTTGCTTCCAAAATTCTTCTTCTAGTGCTAAGTATCTTATCAATTCAGCTTGGACCTTCTGTAATCTTACTCTATTTTGAAAAGTAGGATTCTTTTCAAATTCTGCTTCATGAGCCAATACCACCTCTTCCAAGCTTGCAATTTTTTTGAAGATATCTCCATATGTGGCCCTACTCCATGCTGTCAAAGCCTTCTTCAATCTCTTTAATTTCTGATTGAACATGAAGAAAGGATCTCCCATGAAATCAGTCTTCCAGTTCTCCCTAACTACATCGATAAATGAATCATGTTTTGTCCAGAAATTAAGAAATTTGAAAGCTTTTTTAATTGGCAACTCATCTGCATTACATGTTATCAACATAGGGCTATGGTCATACCCTATTTTTGATAAGTGTGTTATCACTGTATTAGGACACAACTGCTGGAATTCAGGATTCCCCAAGCATCTATCAAGTCGCTTGAAGATACAGTCTTTTCCTCCTCTCCCATTCCACCATGAGTATATACTGCCTTGAAATCCAAGATCACTGAGATTACAGGTGGTGATACAATGCCTGAAGTCATTTATTTCGTTCAAAGATACAGGCAAACCACCAAGTTTCTCCTCCTCATCCCATATCACATTGAAACCCCCCTACTAACCATGGTAAAGTCATATCTCTAGCCAAATTATACAAACTATCCCACAGTTCTATCCTCTCAATGGAATCACATTTTGCATACACAAATGTGACAATAAATGAAACTTGAGTGTCCAGATTTGTGAATTTCAAAGTAAGCTGCTGCTCCAGATCATATATTATATCTATACCATGATCATCATCAACAAATACCCAAATCTTGTTAGATACATTAGAGAAAGCTTGTAGCATTCCAATCCTCCTTCTATATCTCTCTAATTTTCTCTTCTTCTGCTTTGGTTCCATAAGTCCTATAAATTTGAAATGATATTTTCTTTGCATTAGGATGAGTCTTTCAAAAGCTTGCATTGTCTTCACTGACCTCATATTCCAAATAAGAGCATTCATCATTAATTTTGAGATTTAGATAGGGTCCTTCTTGTTTGAACCCCAGGAACTGAACTTTGTATTTCTCTTGGATTCTTCTTTTTGCCCCTCCCTGCAGATCTGCCTTTGTCCATGTGTCTAGGTGAAAGATCACCTTGTCTTGCCACATTTTTGAAGTTTTGTATGGTAGACTCTTCATCATAATCTTTGCCATCACCAACAGTTTTATTATCCATTCCTAGTTGCTCCTTTGGTTCTCCCAGTTGTTGCTGCACACCTGTATTAATTAATGCTGTATTTTGTTTCTCCTGCTTGTATTTTTCTGCTCCTGCTATTTGTGTGTTTGTGATCTCTACTCCTGGAACTATAATGGCACTTGATTGTTCATGTATCCCTGCATCCACACCACCTTTATTCTGCTCATTTTCTAGCTCAGTTCCTCCAGGTGGTTTTTCAGGTGGTATATTGGGCTTAGCTGGTGGTAATTCTTTACTATGATTTGGGTTCACTATTTTCTCAACTCCAACTTTTTCTGCATTTGGTTGGAGTCTGTCACTTGAGTCATTTTTTTCCTCATTGATTCTGCTTTTTCCCCCTGATTGCTTTTCTTTACCTTTGTTGACACTTTGCTCTTCGTGCTCATCATCATCATCTGTTGATTCTTCTTCCCCTGTTCCTTTGCTTCCGGAAGCTCTCCTTCTGATCCTTCTTCAGTTTATGCACACCACAATTTCATTCCACCTAATTGTAACCTTTCCTTTTGAGAAACTTCATCACCTGCAGTGATTTCTACTGATTGAGAAGGAATTTCCTGGCATGATTGATTGGTTGCCACATTGCCACCAAAGGTCCTGCAAACCCAATTTGCTGTTGACTCCTTGTGTACACCCTCCACAGCTGCTACCTTATTTACCTTAGACACATTCTCAACCTCCATCTCCATATGTTTGTTACCTTTCTTAGATGAGGCTACTCATGATCTAGGAGTAAACTCTGCTGCAGCTAGATTCAAGCTACCATTTTTCTCATTATTTGCAGTAGGGCTGTTTTGTATCCCATGATCCTCTACTAAGGCCAATTGTTTTCCTTGATTATCATCCCCTTCATCTTCTTGCAATGCTGCAAATTTGTTGGAAGTGTGAGGTTGTTGATCTACATCAGTTGTACCTCCATCCATCCTTGTCTTCCCATTACTTTGTTGCCTATCTGCAGTAACTGGAACAATTTCCAATCCTGCATTCTCCTTGTTTTTGTTATTAACTCCTTGCCCTTGTTGCATATTATTATCAGTAGTGACCAACTCCTTCCCAGTAATTACTTGACCATCTAATTGTTGGCCATTCTTTCTTACACGCTTGTCCTTTACTTCCCTCCATTGTTCACCACCTGCCTTCAGATCTCCTACCACTTTGCCACTTGATAAAATCATCAGTGGTTGCATGTTCTGTTCCTTGGGCTGCTCCATATTAGTTTCTTTAACATTCTTGGATTGATCATGAGGTAATAACTCAGGATGCAATCTCCAACATTCAAACATATCATGACCTTGTAGCCTCCTTACAATATTTAGGCATCATATCATACTTGATATTTACCCATTCAGTCCTTGTTTCTCCTGTTACTTCATTATCAATGTCCATCCTCACCATCTTAGGATGATCAGCTAGTAGATCAACAAGCACCTTAACCCTTGCACAACTAGGCCTTGTCTTATTTATTGTAGCTAAATCCAGATGAATTGGTTTCCCCACAGCTGATGCCAATGAAAACAACACTTCCTTCACGAAATATGTAGGTAACAAGCCTGGGAAGGAGATCCATGCCATGGCCATTGGAGTCTCTTCTCCAGCATCATATATTAGAGGTCGTAATTGATATTCATGGCCATATTTATCTTTCACGTAATATGCTCCCTTCGATACAAATTCCACGTAATCTTGCCATAGACTCATACGAATAAGAACATGTCTATCTCTTAGCAGCCCAATGTTGCATTCTCCTTTTATTCCACATTGAGATGGCACAATGCGACGTATTTCCTGTAACTCCGGCCATCCATATGCAAATTTGCCAACCACAACATATTGTAATCGTTCTATAATATTCATGCGATCGACTTCAACTTCAGTAAACTTGATTAATGACTGCCCATTAACAAACGAAGGCCTTCTCATTGGTATGGGATAGGTCATTTAGGGTTAAAATGGTAAGGGGGAATTATGGTCGTTGATCTGTACGATCAACGACCTAGATCTAAAGAGGTAGGTAGGCACCGGGTAGGGTCGTTTGAATTGGGTTATGGGTTGGGTCGGATTAAAAAATGGGCCGGTCCGGTTGGGGTTGAGATTGGGTCAATTAAGGGTTAAAATTGAAATGTAAAAGAGGCTGTAATTGAAATGAAATGAGGCTAAATGTTAAATAGCCAGTTTTACCCTTGTTTATTTATAAAAAATAGTAAAATGATTTTAAAAACAAATTAAAAGCACTGAACCAATTAGTAATATATAGATGTTAATTAAAAAATGCTGGAACCAATTTTATAATTATAGAAATGCTATTAATCCTAAAATAGGCTAAAATTGCAATTGTATATATTTTGGCTTTTAAAAATACCAAATAAAATTGTAAAAATATACAAAAATCACCTTAACTATATTTTGGTGTAAGTATGAGAATGAAATAAACTATTCACCAAGGTTGATAGTTTTGGGAATAGTTACTGATATTTGTATTACTAAAATGGATAATAAATTGATTTTAAAAATCTTTAAAATTTATGAAAAATACCAAATCACTTGGGCATGCTTATATATGCATATATATATTATTTTGAAAGTATTTTTATATGAAAAAAAAATGTAGGGAAAAATTGGGTATCAACAACTGCCCCTCTTTACCTAGGAAGGATGAAAGAGTTGTCGGGTAAAGATATGATGGCCAATTTTGACTGAACCTAACAATTTGAAGAATGATGACCGAGCTCGGGTTCCTGAGCCACCTACATATCCTTGGTTTTACAGGAATCAAGCCGTATGTAGTTCAGGATCCATCGGCGGAACATGCCGATGGAGATTTTTTCAAGAACGGACGAGATATTTGGGTTGGGAAGGACGGTCAAAGTCTAACAGGCTGCGGGAACTGGAGCGGGATCGCTCCTGCTGAGACGGTCGTTGCTAGCCGGTTTACCTGCAAATAAACAACACGAGCGCATATATTGTGCATAAATTTAAACGTGATGCAAGTTCCTGTTGGACCATGAATGCTGTCTTTGGACGGTTAGGATGACGTCCTCGGACCATGATGTCCTGGGCCATGAAACATATAATAGAGGATTCGCAGGCTATGAAATGATGTTCTCGGGCTATGGGGAATGATGCCTCCGAACCATGATGCCTTTTAATAATGCTATGCAGAGAGAAAGTGGGGTCCTCAGGCCATGGCATGATGTTCTCGGGCTATAAAAATGGTGCCTCTGAACAATGATGCCTTTGGACGATTTGGTGATCTTTCAGCCCATGAAATGCAACAGGTGGAAATCTTTCAGCCGATGCAAGGCGTAAAAATAAAAGATGGCAGTATTTCAACCGATGCATGATTTACATGAGGTGGCGATATTTCAGCCGATGCAAGGCGTAAAAAAATAAAAGATGGCGGTATTTCAGCCGATGCATGATTTACATGAGGTGGCGATATTTCAGCCGTGCAAAAAATATAGATAAAATGGCGATCTTTCAGCCGATGCAGGATTTAAATGAGGTGGCGATATTTCAGCCATGCAAATGGAGGTAGAGCTTAACCTCGGGAGGCAGAATAGTAGCCTTATGCTATGATGGAGACAGAGCTTAGTCTCGGAAGGCAGGATAGTAGCCCTATGCAATGCAAAATGCAAATGGAGGTAGCGATTAACCTCGGAAGGCAGAATAGTAGCCTTATGGAGACAGAGCTTAGTCTGGGAAGGCAGAATAGTAGCCTTATGCAATTGAAAATGCAAATGGAGGTAGAGCTTAACCTCGGAAGGCAGAATAGTAGCCTTATGCAATAATGGAGACAGAGCTTAGTCTCGGAAGGCAGAATAGTAGCCTTATGCAATGCAAAATGCAAATGGAGGTAGAACTTAACCTCGGAAGGCAGAATAGTAGCCTTATGCAATAATGGAGACAGAGCTTAGTCTCGGAAGGCAGAATAGTAGCCTTATGCAGAAGAAGAGAGACGAATAGTAATAACGATTTCTTAGCTGATAGCTGATAGGTGGTTGCCGATTATGGCTGCTAGGGACATTGTATTCGGATAGCGGTTGTGAAGCGATAATTCCGAGAGTTGTATTCCTGAAAAGTGTGGGTGTATAAATGTATTCAATGATTTGTGACTTGGGTGCCTGCACCCAAAGGAAAATCGTGAGTTTTGTAAAAGGAAAAGGTTAGCTCGTGTTCCTACTGACTTCGCTTGACCGGCTCGGCTCTGTTTTTGGTGATACTGTAGGTACCCTTGGGGTAGCGTTGTTAAACAAAGCAATTTTGATAATTAACATGCATGAGTTTGTTAAAGATATGACATGTGTATATATATTTAAGAAATAGTTTTTAGACGAACCAACGACCGTGACGTGGTTCAAGACATTGCGACTTCTCCTAGTGCAGAATTTTGAGGGTCCTCCTCAAAATTCTGCCCCAGTTTACCGGGTCGATGATCGGCTAAAGTTACTTCGGAATTTTGAGGGTCCTCCTCTAAGGTTCGTGGTGGCGCCAGACACCTCTTTCAGGCAAGCCCACTAAATCATCAATTAAATCCTCTTTAATACTTTTGAAAATCTAGAATTTTTCCTTCCATTTTTCATAAATAAAAGATCACTAATTGAATTCAAATTTAAATAGTAACAATTTGTACAAATCCGTTAAAAACCTTCCCAGAAACCCGGTGTC